CTGTTACTGTGTCAGTCCATCTAATCCAGGGTCGTCTTCTCTCCAAGCATGATGTACTTTTCTTGGCTACATGCCAATGTTTCTGAGATGGAGCTTCAGAATCCTTGCTTTTTAAAAGCAACTTGGTTATATCACCTCCAGGACAAACCTGTGCATTCCCTTAGCAGTCCATGAAATGTTTCTCTTCTCCAGCACCACATCTCAAAAGCATTGGTCTGTCTTTTGTCATTGTTAGTCATTGTCCAGCTCTCTGATGCATATCAAATAGACCATGAAGACTATAGCATGGATTAGGTGCACCTTTGGGAGACTAGTGGCCAGTGGCAAGCAGCTATGCTGCAATCTCAAAGTTACGCAGTTAGAATCCATCAGCTCCTTTCCACAGAAGAATGGACAATCTCCTACTATGTAAATCAATGCCTCTGAAAACCCACCAGAGGGTCAGCCATGGATTGGCTCCAATTTGATGGTACACAACAGCAGCAACAACAACAGTCTTCAGACTGACATCATTGGCCTTTAACACTGGAGAGGTCCCTGATAGTAGATTTTCCCCAATTCATTTTTTTTTAAATTTCCTGACTGCTGGTGTTGATTGTGGAACCAGGCAAGCTGAAATAGTTAACAAATCTCAATCTCCTCTCCATCTCTCAGGATGATACCAGTTGGCCCAGTGGTGAGAATCTTTGTCTTCTTAATGTTGAGTGAGCTACAATCCATATTGCAGACTATAAATTAACTATGACTCATAGTGACCCTAGGAATAACAAATCTGAACCCTATCCTCCTCATCACGTCTGGTATGTTAGAGCCCATTGTTAGTCACTGTGTCCATCCTTCTTGTTAGAAGTCTTCCTCTCTGACCCTCCATCTATCCCAGAATGATGTCATTTTCCAGGGCCACTCCTGACAACATGCCCAAAGTATGTGAGATGAAATTTTTACATCTTTGCCTGTCAGGACCACCCGGGTTACACTTCCTCCAGGTAATGCTTGCTTGTTCTTTTGTCAGCCCATTGACTATTCAGTATTATTCTCCAACACCACAACTAAACAGCATCAATCCTTTTTGGTTTTACTGTCCTTGTTGTTATGTGCTTTAGGCCCAACTGCAACTCATAGCAACCCTATAAAAAACAGAAATAGACCAAGCCCTACTTTGCACCATCTTCATCATATCTGATATACTTGAGCCCATATTTTCAGTCACTGTATCCATCCACCTATTGAGGGGCTTCTACTCTTAACCTTTCTTAGCAGGGTATTTTTCCCAAGAACTAACCCCCTCTAACAGCATGCCCCAAATATGTGAGATGGATCTTCACTATCCTTGCCTCCAACGAGCACTCTGGTGGGACTTCCTCCAAGAATTACTTGTTTGTTCTTTTGGCATTCCATAACCTATTGGGTATTCCTCTCCAATACCACAATTCAAAGGCTTCGATCCTTCTAGCATCCTTCGTCATTGCTGATTTGAAGTAAATCAACAAGAGTAATTCATCCAGAGACATTTATTCTGTGGAGTTATACATCCAATGGATCCTAACTATAAGAATTAAATTATTTACAAACTGTTTCTAAAATAGCAAATTTAGATACCTATTTTAGTGACACTTGTTTTTATTTCTAAATTGACTTACAAAGATTTCTCTCACAATTATCAACAATTGCTAAATCTCTCTCCATCTTGGCACAATTATTTCTGGAAACACCCTCTTGGAATTTAGTATTTCCAAATAAACGAGACATTTGGGAAATGTTATTAGATATATGGCATAACAGGAATCTAGGAGGCAAAACAATGGTTGTACTCTCAATCTAATTTTGTCACTCAATCCTGTTAGAATAATTCTTCAGAGTTATGTATAGTTTCTGAAACAAATTCTTCCTTTTTCGAGTTGTCTACTTAAAATAGTTACTAATACCAGGTATGTAACAGTAAAATAAAGCAGGAACTTGACTTTACATATTCAATACATTGAATATTTCCTCTGAAACTTAATTTACTACCCTGTAACGTGGATGTAATAATGTTGTTATATGCCTTCAAGTCACTTATGACTCATAGTAATCCTATGTACAACAGCTCTGAACCCTGCTCTATCTTGGGCCAATTTCATTGTCTCTGATATTTCTACCCCCACTATCCCAGGCACCAAGTCCATCTATCTCATCCACAGTCTTTCTTGGGCTGTCTGTCCACCCTTCTAAAGATATAACAGTAGTAGTTCCTTTTAAATAAAGATTAGAGCTATTGAATTTCTACTACTTTGATTATCATTCACTTTCAAGGTATGATAACTGTAAAAATAATAATTATTGTGCCAATAATTTATTATTTGTTAAGGCTTGCCTAGTAAATTAAAGATTAATAATTCATACCTATCCAGAAGTATCTCGGGAAAGAAGCCTGGTAATCTGCTTCTAAAAGGCCACACGTCACTATTCTAAATGCTCATGGGCCAGTTCTCCTCTACATGTGAGATTCCCTTAAATTGGAATCAAGCTGACAGCAACTAACAACACAACAATAACAATATCTGTGTTTCTTTTCTGTAAAATGTGGGATACTCGTATTTCATTCAGAATTCCATAAATAAACCTTAAATTGTGTTACACTATTTTATTTATAAATATTCCTTAGTCATGAAAATATTTCTTATATTTTTGCAAAAATACTCAAGCTTAACACTTACTATCTGTAACTTAGTGGATTGTTGCTAATACCAGGAAACTATGTAACAGTAAAACAAAGCAGGAGCTTGTGTTTTGTGTAAGGAAATTAATTAACAGCCTCATCAGTGTAATCCTACTTCTCAGTTATTGTTACCGTTGTCACTGTGTGCTGTTGAGTCACCTGCAACTCATAGCAGCCCTATGTACAGCAGCTCTAAAGACTGCCCTGTCCAGAGCCAGTCTCACTGATTGCAACACACCATTCCCCATTGCCTCAGTTACTATATCAATCCATCTCATTCAGGGTCCTCTTCTGTCCTGCCACATCATCAAAAACATGATGTTCTTCTCTAAGGATGGGTCCCCTCCTGGCCGTGTGCCCAAAGTATGTGACACAGAGCTTCAAAATCCTAACCTCCAAGGAGAAACTTTGTTTTACCATCTCCAAATCAGACCTATTGATTTCTTGGTGGTCCATAATATGTTCAGAACTCTTCTCCAGCACCACAACTCGGTGGCATTGATTCTTCTGTCATCTTTAGTCACTGTCCAGCTCTCTAATGCGTAGCAAGTAATTGAAAAGACCACAGCCTGAAGAATCAGCACACCATATAGTATCAATTACTACCAAAATTTTTATCTTAGGTGGACCTCAGCTGAAAGCAGAGAGAACCAAAGAAATACCTATCAGTATTTGATTGACTATGCAAAAGCATTTGACTGTGTGGATCACAAAAAAATTGTGGCTAGACTTGAGAAGAATTGGAATCTTGGAGCACGTGATTGGTTGTACTCATGTGAAACCTATACTTGGTACAGGAAGCAGTTGTCCAAGTAGAGCATGGTTCAGAATCAGGAAAGGAGTCTCTCAAGGATGTGTCCTTTCAAATTTAAATTTTAAAATTTAAACCTTTTAAATTTATATGTGGAACAGATTATTCACCAGGCTAGGCTTTATGAGGAGGAATGTGACATCAGGATTGGAGGAAGACTCATCAGTAGCCTTTGTTAGGCAAATGACACAACCTTGCTTGCTGAAACTGAGGATGACCTGTGGTGTTTGCTGCAGAAGGTGAAGGACTATAATCCTCAATATGAATTGAAACTAAACATCAAGAAGACAAAGATTCTCCCCATTGGGCCAACGAGTAGCATCATGAGCGATGGAGAAGGGATTGTGATTGTTAACAATTTAATTTGCTTTGTTGTATAGTCAGCATTCTTGGCATCAGCAGTCAGGACATCAGAAGACAGAATTGCATTGGGAAGATCTACTGTCAAGGACAGCACTCCTGAGTGCTGAAGAGCAATGATGTCAGTCTAGAGACTAAAGTGCACCTGATCCAAGCATGATCTTCACTATTACTATGCATCAGTGAGTTGGACACGGACTAAGGATGATAGAAGAAGAATCGAAGCCAAGCCAAGACTCAGGTCTGTCCTGAACTGGGTGAAACCAAGCTGGTCTTGGAAACAAGGATTTTGAAGTGCTTTCTCACATTCTTTGATCATGTGGCCAGGAGAAGCCAGTCTTTGGAGAGAAGGACATCTTGCTTAGAAGAACGGAGAGGGTGTGGAGGAGGAAGACCCTAGATGTGACAGATTGACACAGTGACGGGGTAATGGGGATATGTTTGTCAGAGACAGTGAGATTGGCTCAGGATTGGGCAGAGTTCAGAGCTGTTGTACACAGGGTCACTATGATAACAACAGTGCAACTTAGAAATGCTGTTAGTTGCCTTTGATTTGTCAAGTTTTTTTTTCTCTCTTTGTTTTACGAGAAACTATAGTTAATGTATCATCTCACACGGAGCACAATTGTTTACAATTAAAAAACAAACATTACTGTAAATTCAGAATGCACCTATAGCTGACCCACTAACAGATTCCCAAGGGTGTAAATTGCATGAGAGCTAATTGGTTGACTTTGTTCTGTCCATTCACTGAATTTGAACCACCAGAAAAATGAGCCTTTGGGCGAGCAGCACGAACTCCTTTAGACTAGGCCACCTGATGGTCATATTCTTATATTGCATTTATATTACTTTTCCAGGAGGGTATGGCACCGTGTTTAAAAATTATTGTTAATATTTAATTATTTTAATTATTTAAAAATTTTAATTATTATTACATGTTGATCTGTATATTAACTTTAGTAAAAATATAAGAGACAGCCCAGCCCTTTGGCCACCATATTTATATCTGGCAAATATAGCTTATTTGAATCTTGCTGTTTTCTCTCTGAAGAAATTGTGTGTATCTAAAACTGGGCTGTTTAATCTTGATATTCTCTCAAAACTGATCATGTTTTTCTTTCATCCTAGTTCAGACTTGGTTCCTTCAACCTGGAGAAAGCTGCAAGTCCAGCTGAGGTCATTAGAGAACTTATTTGTGATTGCCTGGACAAGATCTCAGAAACCAAAGCTAAAAACCAGCATCTGCAGAAGGAAAATGAAAGACTTTTGAAAAGTTGGAATGACATTCATAGAAGGTGTGTGGACAGGGTGCTTGTTGTACTGTTAAAATTTTTAATCTAGATTGTTATTGTTGTTTTTATGTGCCACTGAGTCAACTACTTTGCCCAATCCTGCGTTTCCCTTAAAATCTTCAACATAATTGAGCCCACTGTTACAGACAATGTGTCAGTCTATCTTGTTGAGAGTTTTTCTCTTTCTCTGACCCTCCCTCCACCTTTTAACTTTTCCATGATACCTTTTTCTTTTCTTCTCATTTTGGAATACAGTGTTGTGAGCAACAGGATAATATCCATACACATATGGAAGACCAGTTAATACCACTATCATTCTTATATATGCACCAAAACCCAGAGAAAATAGGAGGAAATTTCCATTATACCTTTTTCCAAGAATTTGCCCCTCCTGATAACATGCCTAAAACATGTGAGATGTAGTTTCACCTTCATATATATTATTTGGCTGGACTAATGTATATTAAAAATAAGCTGTATCATTAAGTATAGCTTTACTTAATGTTATTAAACAAGATTATTGGTCACTGTTATATATTAGAGAAGTCTATCAACACTTATAGGAATTTGGCATTTCATGCCACTAGCAAAGTTATAGGGAGCTCTGTTCACCCTTTGGGTAAATAGTTGCACTGCCAACTCTAAAGCCAATGGTTTGAATCTGTCAGCTGCTCTTTAGAAAAAAGATGGGCCATGTATTCCCACGTGGTTTATAGCCTCTTAAAAGCCATTGGAGGGTCAACTGTGTGTTAATTCTGACTCGACTATATGAGTTGAGTTTAATAAATTTATTTGCAGTAAGGAGCAAATGGATATTGAAAACTACTATCTGTTCATACTAATCAAAATCTAATCAAAATGGTTATATGGATTAATCAAAGGGAAATGTTAGGATTTGTAATGAATAAAAAAGGAATGTGAAATAAGCACAATCAGTGCTTTCTTTTTAATCTTTGTTTCAATAACTATTATCTCATGTGATGTGTGTTTTGGCTCTTGGTAGAGAATTATTTTTTCCCAATTGATTGAACATTCATTCTTCCAACAATTTTTAAAAGATGAAGTAACTGCTACTGGATTAGACATTTGGAAGCCTTTTATTCTCCTGGCTTTACTTCTTATTTTTCAAGTGCTGAAAAAGAAAGTCACTTACTGTCTCAATTATAAGTTTCCTTAACTAATTACCATTTTTGAAGTATCTTAGTGTGTAGGTTGTATTATTCTATATTAAAAGCAATTTTTAAAGGAAATATATGTTTAGACCATTTGTATTTCAACCCACCCACAGCTATTGAGTTAATTCCTACTTCTAGTGACCCTGTGGGACAAAATAACTGCTAATTTGGCCCCAGCTTGTTGACCTTCAAGCAAATTTTCCCATTATAAATTGCACGGGAGGAGACTGATCATTTTTCTCCCATGGAGCAGTTGTTGGACTCAAAGTGCTTACCTTTAGGTTGGCAGCACAACTCCTTACCACTAGGCTCCCACAACTTCCTGGCTTCAATCCATAGTGACATTATCCACGTCCAGCAGAACGAAATTCTGCCTGACCCTGCACCTTCTTCAGTCTCTTCTCGGCTCCAGTCCATCTTTGCAGTCACTGCATCAGACCATCTCCTTGAAGATACTTCTTCACTAACCCTCTGCTCTGTCAGTTATCATTTTCCAGGTGTTGATCTCCTCTGACAGCATGCCCAAATCATGTGGGAGGAAATCTCAACATTCTTATCTCTGCCCCTCCGATTTCCAAAATTATAAATGCCAAAATTGTGGAAGCCAGCTTCCTCTTTTCTGTCCCATGGAGCAGTTGGTAGGTTGAAATTGAGAGCCTTTTGTTTAGGAGTGGAATTCTTTAACCACTGTGCTGTCAGGACTTCTTGATATTTCTATTGTTCTTATGTCGTTGCATACAATTGAGTTGGAACCAACTCATAGCGGACTCCAGCTTTTCAGGATTTTTAGAGGTAATAAATCACATGGGAGGATATTACTCATAATTCCATTGCAGAGCAACTGATGGATTTGAACTGCATTCCTTTGAGTTGGCAGTGCAACCCGCTTACTATTCGGCCACTAAGCTCCCTTTCTAGCTCTAAATGATATATAATATAAGCTCATTGCCATCAATTAATTATACTCCTGATGACCCTTCATCAGATTTCACATGAGCCCAACACTTAACTTCCTATACCATCTGAGCTCTTTTCATATTATGATAAATACGAATATTATATGCATATGTTTGAGGATATGTACATGTGTTTTGTTGTATTGTGTACCATTGAGTTAAAATAAAACCATAGCTGGCCCTCCATCAGGTTTCCAGGAGCAGTTAATCATATGAGAGGAAATTGCCCTTCTTTTTCTTGTGGAGCAACTAATGGTTTCGAACCATATACTTTTGGGTTGCTTACTACTAGTCTACAAGAAATTCCTATACATATGTGTAGAAACATGAAATAATTAAATGTAATATTTAAAAATGGTTATCATTACTTCTAGCATATATATGTAATAGTAATCATTTTACAGAATATATATATTTATGTGCCTGTATGTATATATTTAAGCATTATCCTGGTGGAGGGTGGAGCTGGGAAGTAAGTGGGTCAAGGCACTGGGCTAAGGGTGGGGTCAACACTGTAACTAATGCTTAACT